TATATACGGTGGTTATGTATCCGTAGAAAAATGCTGATCACCTTCATATTACCTAATTAATTAATCAATCCGCAGGTACGAGAGGTATGATGTTTAGGTTGCCACGGGAACTAGATAGCCCGGCCTCGAGTGTGTGACGTCACGGAGGCGCGTCTGAGTGTGTGTGTGTGTGAAGTATGTTTAGCAAGGAGGATTGGCCACGCTGCTTTTGGGTTTGGCGAATTTTGGCAGAGAGATCTTGAGTCATCAATAATCTCTGGTCATATTTTTAACCTTGGCAGTCAGTGGCGGTCGCTCTGTGTGTGTGTGTGTGTGTGTGTGTGTGTGTGTGTGTGTGTGTGTGTGTGTGTGTGTGTGTGTGTGTGTGTGTGTGTGTGTGTGTGTGTGTGTGTGCGCGCGCGCGCGCTTGTGTGTGCGCGTGTTTGTATGTGTGTGTGTGTCTGTGTGCGTGTTTCTGTATGCATATATGTATACATATGTGCGTAAATGCGAGAGAGGCAGAGACATAGAGGGATGGAAGCAAGCAGTCTAGCAGGGATTATGACACAAGGCGGGGATGGAAAGGATGGACGAGACGGGCGTGAGGGGCCTCCGAGAGCGAGAGGCGGTAGCGAAGAAGGCGAGCTACTGTTCATGCTCTGCTGGGTCTTGCCGGTCATTTTCCAGCTGGTGGCGAAGAAGGAAGGAGGGGGTAGCCAGCGCGCCAGGGGAGGGCAGGGGAGGGGGACCGGAGGCAAGGAGGATCGCGCAAGCCTCGGAGGACGCGGCCGGGAGACGGTGCGATCGGTCGTGGAAGCGGGAGGAAGGAATTGCGAAGGAGGGATGGGCGATGGGGGGAAGGATGAAGGAGGGGTGGGCGAAGGAGGGGAGAACGAATGAGGGAAGGACGAAGGAGTGATGGGCGAAGGAGGAGAGGACGAAGGAGGGATGGGGGGGGGGCAAAGGGAGAGGTCTTGGAGGTCAGGGAATTGAAGAGGGGTTGCAGACATGGAGGAAGGTAGGATGAGCTTGGGTAAAGAAGAGTAAGTGAAAACACTGGGTACAAAGTAAAGAAGAATAAAAGAGGTGAAGGAAACAGACAGAAGAGGGGAAAGAACTAGTAAAGAAAAGAGGGAAACTAGGGAAGGATAGAGGGAAAGAACTAGGCAAGGAAAGAGGGAAATAATAGGGAAGAAAGAGGAAAGAACTAGGGAAAATATTCTAAAGGTATTTTTGGTTCCTGTCTCCTTGGGAAGTAAAGGAGAAGAAAGAGAGCCGAGAATATCGGAGATTTACAAGAGTAAATAGACGCAAAGGAATCACAAAGAGATGGGACGGGGATTGTATGTAGAACTGATGGAAGAGGCAATAAAGGAGCGACGAAGCAAAGCAAAAAGGACGAGGAGGAGGAAGTAATCTCTCGGTATCACGAAGTTATGTCGACTGTGCTTCAGCTGGCTGGATTTTTCATGGCTGGGGGCCGTCCAATGTCGTAAACTGCGGCGTTTCCATAACTGCATTTGAGAGGGAACACGGCGGGGGGGGGGGTCGTTTGGAGTGGGGTCAGGCCACGCTGGGGGGTCACAGCTGCACGGAAATGATGCTGTGGGGCTGAATCTCTGCGGGGAAGGGTCTTCACTCAGAGCTGCATGTGTAAAGGGGACTGAGTTCTGTCGGGGTCACGTTTGGAGGGGAGCGAAGGCGCCCGGGGAGGGAGATCTGTTGGGGGCTGTATCTGGGGGGGGGGGGGCAAGGCCACTTCAAGTGAGAGAGAGGGAGACACACACACAGATAGACTGGCAGGTAGACAGACACAGAAAGAAAGGCAGACAGACAGACAGACAGATGCAGTGTCAGACAGATACACGGGCCGAGATCACGACGACGAGGAGGTCTAAAGTGTCATTACGTGGCAGGTCGGAGCGGGCTGGGGAACAGAGGGAAGCCGGCGCCGCGAGAGGGTAGACGGGAGCAAGACCCCGGGGGGGAGACGGGTGCTTGGGTTGGGAGACGAGGTCATAAAGGTCAAATGACTGTCACGCCGTCGGGATGAATGACAGGCGAAGGAGCGGCTGCGCGTGGGCTGTCGCTCGCATTGCCTCGCGGAATGAAGACGATACACTAATTACGATGACGGGGAAGTGTGGTGTGGGGGGTGGCTGACAGGGAAGGGGAAAGGTTGTGACGGGGGAGGAGGGGTTGTGTCGGCGGTGGAGGGGGTGGGAGGACGAGGGAAGGCTGAGACGAGGGGAGGGGGAAGAAGGGGAAAGGGGAAGAATGCCGGTTGTGACGGGATGGATGGGTGGAAAGACGAGGGAAAGTTATGACGAGGGGAGGGAGGGGAATGGGACGGAGAATATGAGGGTTGTGACAGGGTGGGGGGGTGGGACGGGAAGATTGGTGGCGAAGGGCGAAGGAGATTGTGACGAGGGGATAGGGAGGTTGCGAGGGCGATAGAATGACGAGGGCGATAGGGGGCGAAGGGAGGTTGTGACGAGGGCGATAGGGGCGAAGGGATGACGAGGCGATAGGGCGAGGTTGTGACGAGGGCGATATTTGTGACGAGGGCGAAGGGGGCGAAGGGAGGTTGTGTATGCGCGAAGGGAGGTTGTGCGAGGCGAAGAGGTTGTGACGAGGGCGATAGGGGGCGAAGGGAGGTTGTGAAGGGCGAATGGGGCGATAGGAGGCGAAGGGCGAAGGGGAAGGACGGTTGTGACGGGATGGTGAGTGATGAAAAATTGCGACAGTGGGAGGCGGGAGGACGAGGGGGTGTGACGGGGAGGAAAGTGAATAAAGATGGTCGTGACTGGGTGGGTGGAGAGGAAGGAAGGGTGGTGGAAGTTGTGGAAGGGGTGGGAAGTTGTGACGGGGAGGGAGAGGGAGGGAAGGGTGGTGGGAAGTTGTGACGGAGGCAAAGGGGAAAGGACGATAGATGGATGTGCCTGGGGTGGGGAGGGCAAGGTCTGGGGAGGGGTGGAAGAGCGAGGGAAGGTCTGGGGCGAAAGAGGAGGGGAGGAGATGATGAAGACAGAACATAAGGGTGAGGAATAGTTCCCTAGATAAAAAGACTAATGCAGCGATTGCACTGCAACGAACGGTTTGAGGTTGCTGGAGTCAAATTGTTTTCTTAGGAGCTTAGAATACGGGCCAAGGCTGCGAGGAGTATGGCAAGAGGGATGGGAACAAGGAGGATAATGACGTGGGAAGGAGAGAGAGACCGCGGGTGAGAGTTCCATGAAGGGTAAGAGCTGGGCGCCGGATGAGCCCGCGTTGGCCAGGTGTTGGAGGGGAGCGAGGGAGCAAGGGGAGGGCGGAGGAGGAGAGAGAGGGAGGGGAGGAGGAGGAGGGAGGTGTGGGGAGAAGGAGAGGGAGGGGGGAGAGGAGGAGAGGGAGGGAGGGTGTGGGGGGAGAAGGAGAGGAGAGATGATAATAATGGAGGGGGGGGGGGAGGACGGAGAAAGGAGGGGAGAAGGAGAGGAGGAGAGGGAGGGAGGAAGGAGGAAACGAGGGGAGAAGGAGAGGAGGAAGGAGGAAACGAGGGAGAAGGAGAGGAGGAGAGGCGTGGATGGGAGGGAGGGAGAAAGGAGAAAGAGAGGAGGAGAGGGAGGGAGGAAGGGGAGACGGGAGAAAAGGAGAGGAGGAAGGGGAGGATGTAGGAAAGGAGGGGAGAAGGAGAGGGAGGGAGAAAGAGAGGAGGGAAGGAAAGGAGGTCGACGGAGAAGGATGAGGTGAAGAGTGAAAAAAAGAGAAGAGAGAAAAGATAGTGAGAGGTTTGCGGATCAAATAGAAAACAAATAAAGAAAAAAAGCGAGAGAAATGGGTGAAACGGGAGAGGGATGGAGGGAGCGAGAGTGAGGGAGGGAGAGGCGAAGGACGAAGGGGTTACATGACGGAAGATCCAATTACCCGAAGACCCGGCGAAGATCATTTCGCGGGGATACCTTAATGGCGAAGCAAAATGGATTCTATGGCATTCAAATAACCTCATTACGCGTGTGTGATTGCGTCCATATGTGTAATTACGTGTGTTATTGAGTGTGATTATATTTATATTGTGAGTTGGGTCCTTGAGTGTGTTTGTTTGGCTGATTGATTTTTTTTGCTTGTTTTTTTTTTGTGTGTGTGAGAGTGGATGTGGATATGTATGTGTTTGTGTGTGTGCACGTGTCGGGGTGACCACGACGTGTGCAGAGCCGGAATTTGGCAGGATCGTTTTCGTCGGCATCCAATCTAGCGTGCCCTGTTTCTCTCCCTCCCTCTATCCATTCCTCCTCTTCGCACTTTCCTCTCTGTCACTCCTCTTAGAAGCGTTGTCACCTCTCCATGCCGCGATTTCTTCGGTCTGTCCTCTTTGTCCTCTCGATCTTTGCACTGCTTGTATCGCCTTATCTTTCGATGCAAGTTTCCCCATCTCTCTCCTTTTATCCTTTCGCTTTGTCCTCTCACCCTCTTTATTTTTTTGCTGCCTGTTGCATCTTATTACTAACGCGTCCTCTTGCTTTTACTAACGAGCTTCCTTACCCGTGTCTTTCCTCCTACCGTAGCCAGTGCCAATCGTTTTGTGTTTCTATGTGATGGCACTCCCTGGTTGGCACTCTGCTTATCCTTTACACTCTGTGGTGCTAATCTCTCAGAGAGAAGGAAAGGGAGAGGGAGAGGGAGAGGAAAAGGGAAAGGGAAAGGGAAATGGAAAGGGGAAAAGAGAGAGAGCGAGGAGGGAATGGGGATTAAGGGTGAGGAAAAGGAAGTTAGAGTGAGAGGCAATGGGGTTGAAAGGGAGAGGGAGAGGCAAGAATGAAGGTGAAGAAAAACAGAGAATGGAAGAAACGAGGGTAGTGAGATAGTCCAATCGGAAGTAAGTGAGAGAGAGAGAGAGGAGAGAGAGAGAGAGAGAGAGAGAGAGAGAGAGAGAGAGAGAGAGAGAGAGAGAGAGAGAGAGAGAGAGAGAGAGAGAGAGAGGCAGTGGGAGGAAGGGGGAGGGGGGTGAGAGAGGCACGGACAGGCACTGGGACGAAGAGCTGCCGGGCCGGTGGGTGCCTCAGTGTATCGTGGGCACGGTGGGGGAGAGTGCCGCGGCTCCCTCTCTCGTGCTCTGGCCCTTCGTTGCGTCTTGCGGTTAGTGTGCGGTCAGCGGAGTTCTTGCACGGTTAGCAGCGTTCTCGTGCAGTTATTGCTGTTCTTGGGCGGTTATGCGTGTCCTTGTGGGGGTTGTGATTTAAAAAATAATTATGGACGCTCACTGGTCTTTCTTTGCTGTTTGTGATACATTTTATTTTGGCGTGGTCGGTGTCTTTGTTGGTTTTCTTGTACGGTTGTCCTTGTTTGCGGTCCTTGCCTTTAGCGCTCGAGTCTCTTTGCGGTTGCGAGGAAGAAGCAGATCCGTTTTCCTTTCGTGGTGACATTGCCGAGGAAAGTGATGGTGACGGGCGACGGGCGGGTGTGACAGTCGGGTCAGGCAAAGCAAAGGTGTAGCTGGTGATGTGGTGATGCGATGGTGAGACACGGGGGTGGGGGTGGGGTGGGGGGTTGGAGTCTGTGTGTGTGGTGATTAGTCGAGAAGCAAGTCTGTTGTTTGTAAAAGCTTTTTTACTTTTGAATGATTAGCCAGTTTTTAAAGGCCAGGCATGTGTTTGTCTCATGGTGGAGATAACGATGTTAATATAGTTGTAGGGAAATGTATGCATAGACGCACAGATCCGGGGATTTTTTTATCCGCCTCCTTACTTTGTTATTCATGTGAGCCTATTTTTGTCTCTCTCTCTCTCTTTATCTATCTATCCATCTATCTATCTATCTATCTCTCACTCTCACTCTCACTCTCACTCTCACTCTCACTTTTTATCTTCTCTTCTCTCTCACTCTTTCTCTATCTTCTATCTCTTCTTCTCTTCTCTTTCTCTATCTTCTTTTCTCTCTCACTCTTTCTCTATCTCCTTTTCTCTCTCTCACTCTTTCTCTATTTTCTCTTCTCTCTTCCCTCTCTCCTCTCCTCTCCTTTCCTCTCATCACCTCTCCTCCTCACTCGCTCCTTCTCTCCCTCCTTCCCCCTCATATCTGCTAACCCTTCCTCCATCCCTCCATCCCTCCTGTCCTTTCCCTTTCCCTTCCTCCTCCCTCCTTCCCTCTTCCCTCCTTCCTTCCTTCTTCCTTCTTCACCCTCGTCCTCCATCTTTCTTCTTTCCACTCTCTCCTCTCCATTCCATGCACATTCTTTGGCCTGTCTGTCCGCGTTTAGAACTCTGCGTCGGCGATCTCCGTTGCTGGCGACCGGAGGAGTCCAGCCGCCCCAGAACGACCCCCGGCCGCCCCTGCAATCGCTTGCGGTTTAAATGATTTGGATTCAGGACAAGGTCATTCGCCTTGAGTGGTGGTGGTGTAATGTGTTGGTGTTGTTGTTGGTTGGTGGTGTTGTTGTTGTTGGTGGTGGTGGTGTATTGGTGTTATGATTTCTTAGAGACACGATGGTTGGAAGGTCTTCGGTTGCTTTGTGTTTCTGGGGAAGGAGGGGGAGGGGGAGGGGAAGGATTAGGGGAGAAGGAGAGAGGTCAGTTTTTCTGTTGATGTTCAGCGTACATATTTTGGGGGGACACAGGTGAGCGGGGAGAGGGGAGGGGAGGGGGGGTGGGGACGAGCTCTTCTCGTTCAGAGACTCTCGTAATGTGCTGTTGACGCTGAATGCTTTTTAGCGAGATCGGCCGAGGGGGGGGGGGGGGGGGGGGGTACTGATTCCAGTGGGTAGAATTAGAGCCACGGAGGGCATTTCTCGCTTTCACGCTCTCTCTCCTCTTCTCTCTCCTTTTCTCACTCGCGACCCGTTTCTCTTCTGTGTGTCTCTTTCTCCTCCCTGTGTGTTTTTGTTTTATTTTGTTTTTTATCTTTCAGTCTGTCTTTTTTCTATTTTCTTTTATCTTAGTCTCTCTCTCTCTCTCTCTCTCTCTCTCTCTCTCTCTTCTCTCTCTTCTCTCTCTTCTCTCTCTCTCTCTCTCTCTCTTCTCTCTCTCTCTCTCTCTCTCTCTCTCTCTCTCTCTCTCTCTCTCCCTCTCTTCCTCTCTCCTCTCTCCCTCCCTCTCCCTCCCCCTCCCTCCCTCTCCTCCCTCTTCCCTCTCCTCTCCCTCTTCTCTCCCTCTCTCTCTCTCTCTTCCTCTCTCTCTCTCTCTCTCTCTCTCTCTCTCTCTCTCTCTCTCTCTCTCTCTCTCTCTCTCTCTCTCTCTCTCTCTCTCTCTCTCTCTCTCTCCTCTCTCTCTCTCTCCTCTCCCTCTCTCTCCCTCTCCCTCTCCCTCCTCCCTCCCTCCCTCTCCCCTCCTCTCCCCTCTCTCTCCCTCTCTCCTCCCTCCTCTCTCTATCTACCTCATCTCTCTCCTCTCTCTCTCTCTTCCTTCTCTCTCTCTCTCTCTTCTCTCTCTTCTCTCTCTCCTCTCTCTCTCTCTCTCTCTCTCTCCCTCTCTCTCCCTCTCTCTCTCCCTCTCCCCCTCCCCTCTCCTCACCCTCCCTCTCCCTCTCCTTCTCCCTTTTGTCCATCTGTCTATCCACCCATCTGTTTACTCATCAACTCATCTATCCATCCATCCATCCATCCATCCATCCATCCATCCATCCATCCATCCATCCATCCATCCATCCATCATCCATCTAATGAGAGGATAGCATGGAGGCCACCGATGAGACCGCGCCCCGTGGGTTGGTCTTGGTCGTGATGACGTTTCCTATTGAGGCGAGTGATGGTGACGCTGTGGTGAGTGATGACGAGTCGTTGTGGAGGGCGTGTCTATTGATGATTTAAATAGATAAGGGGAGGATGGCAAGGGGGGGAGGTGGGGTAGAAGAGAGGGGGTGGGGGAGGGGTGGGGGGTGGTGGATGAGAGGGGGTGGGTGGGGGAGGAGCTTTTAAAACCAGGTGGGTGACGTAACGGAGTGATGTAATGGGGCTTCGGCAATAGGGCGTATTTCATTGGTTTTAATTGTTTGTTTTATTTATTTTGTTTGTGTATATATATTTTTTTTTGTCTTTCATTGTGTTGGATTCTGTGTTAGGCCTAAGTTGATGAGTTTCTGTTTTTTAAATTTTCGTTTTTATTCACTTGATCAAAAAGGAAGGTAGAGACGGTGTGTGATAATAATTTGAAATTGTCATACCCAAAGAAAATGGATGATTAGACCGCATAGAAAACGTGGCACATGATCAAGCATTTAGACCCTTGTGAATATATTATTAAGTCGCGGTGAAACAGAGAGATAAGAAAAGATAAAGAGAGTGTGTGCAGTATTAAGAAAAGAAGGTAGAAAGATCATAAATAAACAAAGTGAGTAATAAGGAAGATTAAGGTGCGGAAAGAAAGAAAATAGGGGAAAAAACGAGAGAAGAGAGTAACGTGGTAGAAGGAAAATAAAAGAAAATTAATATATCTATAAAAGAAGAAGAGATTATTGTGATATAAGAATTGAACCACGAAGGTAAAATCAAACAAGAAAAAAAAAAATACACGATGGTGCGTGGAACAGCCATCATGAAGCAGGAGAAGAAGAAGGAAGGAGAAGCCGCCCATCCGCCCACACCCGCGAGAAAAGGTGGGCGTCCTTCCCTATTTCTTTTGGGCGTCTCGTCGGACACGCCCAAGCGAATATACATACATACATACACGCACACGCACACGCACACCACACACACACACACACACACACACACACACACACACACACACACACACAACACACACACACACACACACACACACACACACACACACACACACACACACACACATACACACACACACACACACACACACACACACACACACACACACACACACACACACACACACACACACACACACACACACACACACACACACACACACACACACACACACACACACACACACATATAATATATATATATATATATATTATATATATATATATATATTACACATATACATATATTTGTAAATGCATACATACATATACATATAAATATACCTATAGGTACACTTTTCCCCCCATTTTATTTTCATTGTGCTTTTGCACTATAAACAACGGACACTTATTTTTACATTAACCATTAACTTTTACGGAGACGCTTTTGGTCACTCACACTCATCTCACGCTCATTTCTCATTCATTCTCTTATTTGCGTGTGTATTGATATCTGCATTTTATAGTACCATTTGCGTATTTACGAGCTCGCTCTGAGAGACGTGAGTGCCTTCGTTCTTGACTGAATTAATTGTTCCTTTCTCTCTTCCGCTGAGCATCATCGTCATCATTATCATTATCATTATCTTCATCGTCATCCTAATTTTTGTTTTTAAAACATCATTATCATAATTGTTTGCTGTTATTGTTATTATTATTACTACTGTTGATTTATTATTGTTCGTGTGTTTTTCATCTATTATTTTTATTTTCATTATTATTTTTTGTTATTAGTATCATCATCATCATCATTACTGTTATTGTTCGTGTAATTGATTTTGTTATTTTTATCATTGTTGTTGTTACCATTATTATTATTATTATTATTATTATTATTATTATTATTATTATGTTGATATCTTTGTTTTTATTTTTTCATTGTTATTACTATCATTATCATCATTTTCTTTGTTATTACTATCATTTTTTTCATTGTTATTACTATCATTATCATTTCCATTGTTTTTACTATCATTATTATTTTTTCATTGTTATTACTATCATTTTTTCATTGTTATTTCTATCATTATTAGTTTTTTCATTGTCATTACTCTCGCCACCATCATTATTTGGATAAGGGCGAGGGGGCATGACAGCATGGCACCGCGGACGTTGCCGTTTGCGTGCAATCCTCCCTCACACGTATGGATCATGTTGCGCCCTCAACGCCCTTGCTCGTCCGGCCGGCTCGCGTGCGCGGCGCCCGGGTTTTTCCTCCTTTCGGGTACGTTCTTGTGCCGTTGCGGGGCGCGCGCTTCGGAGCCCCGCCGGCTACGCCCTGTCGGAGGATCCGGGGCGAGGAAGCGACGGACGCAGGCGGTCGGCCGCTTGTAAACGCAGCCGCACGCACAGGCGGTTGCATGCTTATAGACATGGGTCTGTTTAAGTATATACGCTTATATAGATCTTCTGTAGACACAAAGCCGCATGTATGCAGACATTTGGATACCGATAGATAAACAGGCGCACATATACAGGCAGTCGGTTGTTTATATACACACAGGCGGACGTACACAGTTAGTTGGGTACTTCTATACACACACGCAAATACGTCGCACAGAACAAATTAAAACACACACACACACACACACACACACACACACACACACACACACACACACACACACACACACACACACACACACACACACACACACACACACACACACACACACACACACACACACACACACAGATGAGATAAAAAGATTGAAACGGTTAGAAATAATCGCCATGTAGAATATCCCTTCATAAACTAACAATAACAATGATCTCTTGCAGTAATTTGCATGAAGTCATTAATAGCAAGTGTAATTGTGATAAAACTGGCATTAACACAGACATGTTAATGCTAATAATGACTGCTTGGAGTTATGTGCCACCATTTTAGCATCATAGCAGTGGTCATAGAAATAATGATATTAAAATGATAGTAATGATCTTAGAGGTACTACAACATTGATGGCGGGGATAACAGAAGCCACTTAAAAACAGCCTTAGAAACTCGTCGCAAAGTGCAACTGTGTTGTCTCCTTCGTTCCTTCCTCTTCTTCCTCCTCCTCCTCCTCCTTCCTCTTCTTCCTCCTCCTCCCCCCTCCTCCCCCTTCTCTTTTTCCTCATTTTCCTCATTCTCCCTCACCTTCACCACAGTGCCCTCCTTTTCCTTCCCATTCTCCTTTACCTCCACTACGATTTCCTCCTCCTTTTTTTCGTCCTCCTCATCTACTTCCTCCTCCTCCTCCACTTCCTACGCTTCTTCCTCCTGCTGTTCCTAGTCCTCCTCCAGCTCCTCCTCTTCCTCTTGATTCTCCTCCTGCTGTCCCTAGTCCTCCTCCCCTCCCTTTCTCCTTCCTCTTCTCCTCCTCCTCCTGCTGTTCTTAGTCCTCTTCCTCCTGCACTTAGTCCTCCAACTCCTCCTCCCCTCCTTCTCCTCCTCCTCCTCCTGTTCTTAGTCCTCCTCCAACTCCTCCTCCCCTCCTTTTCTCCTCCTCCTCCTCCTCCTCCTTAGTCCTCCTTCCTCCTCCCTCCCTCCTCCTCCTCCGCTTCTTCTAAAAAGACGCCCTCACTACGCCCACGTCGCCTTTGTCCTCCTTTGATGACATGTTTCTCATCCTGAGTTGTTTTTGCTTTTGGGAAAGGTGTTGGGATGGAGGAGCATAGTTGTGTTTTCCTCGCCTTCTTTCATCTTGTGCTTGCGGTCTCTCTCTCTCTCTCCTCTCTCTCTCTCTCTCTCTCTCTCTCTCTCTCTCTCTCTCTCTCTCTCTCTCTCTCTCTCTCTCTCTCTCTCTCTCTCTCTCTCTCTCTCTCCTCCCTACCTTCCCCCTCCTTCCTTCCCTCCTCCCCTCCTCCCTCCATCCCTCCTTTCCTTCCACCCCCACCCCTTCTTCCTCCATCCTTCCCTCCCTCTCTCCCTCCCTGCCCTTCCTCTTACCCAGAACCCCCTCCCTCCCTCCCTGCCCTTCCTCTTACCCCAGAACCCCTCCCTCCCTCCCTGCCCTTCCTCCCAGAACCCTCCCTCCCTCCCTGCCCTTCCTCTTACCCCAGAACCCCCTCCTTCCCTCCCTGCCCTCCTCCCCCTGAACCCCATTGGTGTCGTCCCCCGCATTGAAGCCGCGATGGTCGTTAATGAGCGCACAATGGTCGTCACGTCAGCGGATCGCGAATTGTCAGCGCCCGCGACGGCTTGAGTGGCTGTTGGCAGAGTCGCGTGCGTGCTGTCATTTCTGCGCTGGGGATGAGGGGTTGCTTGTGCTTGCTGGCGGGTTGGCTTTGCGGGCTGGGGGATGGCGCCTTGTCTGTTGCCATTGCTGAGGCGAGGGTGGGGGATGGTTGCGGTGGTGGGTTAATGGTTGGTAGGGGTGGGAGTGGATGGTTGGTAACGGTGGGAGTGGATGGTTGGTAGCAATAGGAGTCACCGTGCTTGGTAGTAATGGGGTGATTGTAAAAAGGGTCACGATAAGTAGATTTGATGCACTGAAGATAAAAAAAAAAATGATAGCTGTATATGACGATGATGGCAATGATGGTAATTTTTTTATGGCACGTTATGATGTTAAGGGTAGTAATGATGGTCACTTTTGTAATGAATGGTTATAACGGCAGTGATTTTTATAGTAAATTATTGATGATAGTTATGATAATCACAATTATAAGAGATAAATATTTTGGTTTAAATATAGGAAAAGATTATGAAAGTAATACTAATTTTATTGACATTATACAGTAGCAAGAAAGATGACAGCGATCATGAAAAGGACAGATATGCCGGTAGTAAAATATAAGTCCCAGCATTTAAATAAAGCGATAATGGTAATAGTATATCTTCTTTCCCTCTCATTCGGCCGGCTTGTTAAAATCGTGCAAGGCCCGGCCCAGTGAATATTCATATATACACGGACGTGCGTATACAGAGAAATAAATACATAAATGTCAGTCTTTCTGATAATTATACATTTATCTATCTATCTATACGGTAAATATGCATGTGTAGAGTGATAGATATGTATTTTTTCTGTGTATTTGCACGTCTACATAATGAACATTCTCTAGGTCGGGCCTCAGAAGAGCTCCGTGCTAGATCTATCTATCTATACGGTAGATATGCATGTGCAGATGTGCATTTATTTGTGTGTTTATGCACGTCTATACAATGAACATTCTCCGGGTCGGGCCTCGCGCAATTTTAACCAAGCGGCCGATTGTCTTGGCCAGCAGTTTGGCCCTAAGCGCTGGACCGTAACCCGTGTTTCCTTCATCCCTCGTCGCGGTTTCCGTCGTGTTGCCGGCCATTTCCCGCTGCACGCTCGCGCCGGCGTCCTTCAGAGGTCAGCGGGACGGGCGGTTCGGTCCCATTCGTCATCCTGCGCATCGGCCTCCCGCGTCGCCGGATACGCCAGCCTTGTCGCGTCGGACGGAGCGCTCTTAGCGGCAGAAGCGGAAGTCGCCGGGCTTTTATTAGCCCTTCGGGGTTGCGAGCTTCTTTCGTCGTCTTCGTCGCCGTAATCACCTTCTGCTACTCTATGACCGCTGCTGCTATTACTGTTACTACTTGTACTACATCTACTATTACTTCTGCTTCTGCTTGTACTACTACTTCTTCTACTACTACTATTACTACTACTACTACTACTATTACACCTACTATTTCTACTATTATTACTGCTGCTGCTGCTGCTGCTGCTGCTGCTATTGTTATTATTATTACTACTTGTTATTATTATTACTACTACTATTGTTATTATTACTACTACTACTACACCTTCTGCTACTACTTCATCTCCTGCTTCTACTTCTACTTGTACAACGTCTTCTACTTCTGCTTCTTCTCCACCTCCTCCATCTTCTTACTCTAATTATTATTTCTTATTAAT